GCAAATGGTCCTTCAGCTAGGGACAAACCTGCAAACCTTTGAATTTTGTATTGCATGCCTACCCAAATCCTCAGATAATCACACCTACATGCGCAAACTGCTGGAACCCTACAGCCGTATGGTTGTTACAGCCAGCCCTGCACTCTTCCTCATCAGCAGACTTGACTGTGGTGCACTCTGCCAGCCTATCGCTCAAGTGGCGAGCACCGAACTCCCAAAGACTTTCAGAAAGTGCCTTTGGGGAACAATCTTGAATTATCTTGAATTGGTATTCCCAAGCAAGCCTCACATTTACCTGTGCAGAAGACGTATACACGGTTGAACAGCATCAGCTAATCTTTTGGCACCTGATGTGCTCGGTCGGATTTCGATACTCACCTGGAATCACCAACTTATGAATCTCAAGCAAACAACGAGCATTTCCTCATTCGTGCGCATTGGAACAATTGTAAAAAGACCTGCAGCCATTTCACACTGCGGTGACAAATTCCGAGTGCAAATCGCCAGTCTTGGCTTCAGGAATGTGCATGCTCTGATCGACAGTATTCGTTAATTATTCGGATTAACCGTGGTTTCTGTGGGTTTCGAATTTCGATCCATCCCCCGAATGGCCCGGCATGCAATCTTCTGAGAAGAGCACCCTGAGACTTGAAACTGCATAAGTACTGTGGAGTGAGGACAAACCAACGCCTGCGCCATGCAGCAACTGCTACCGTTTTTGAATTTACATATTTTGTTGCTAAAATGAGTCCGATCTTATAGATTCTTGCGAAATTCAAAGAGGATTCCAAGTGGCTTGACATTAAAGATCTTAAAGGACTTTACACACTGCACAGCTAAGCAGCTGTGAAGAAATCCAAATCATAGCGGTCATAGCGATGCCTGTGGTCTTTTCAAGAAGAGTCATTAGATGCGCCACGAATAGTCTGTGGATGTTCAATTATTTTTCCAATGTTTTCCACACCCATCTGTCCAAATCCGTCAAAAAGCCTTCTCCATTCTTTCATGTGCTTCGACCTTTGCTGGTGATCAAGGAACTCTTCAAGTCTTGTCAAGTCGGGTGGCTGATGGAACTACGCCTACGCCAAGCGATGTAGTGTTGTTGGTTTATGTTGGTTTTACGGTAATGAGACTTGCGGATTTCTCTGAACGAAGTGCGTCTTGAATGCTGTCACGGTTCCAAATCTACCATTGTTTCTGAAACACAAACCCTGCGACACAGCAGCTCAGCAGCATCAACTTTGGGGTTCACACTGCTTCACAAGAAATCCTTCTTTGATGATGTCGTCCCTGTGGATGACAATTTCCTTAGTGGGCAGGGTCACTTCTCCACTTCTCTCACAGAGAACATGGGCCATGTTACTTTATTTGAATGCATTCCAACAAAGTACATGGAACTCCACAAACACAGTAGACAGTGCTCACTGAGTACATATGAAATTGTATATCTAGAGAGAGAGAGAGACGGAGAGAGAGAGTGAGAGAATCGTGTGTATGTGTATATTGCCACATGTAATCTATGTATAATTTGATTTAATGTACAATGGATGTATTTCAGAGGTACAATGTGTGTATTATTTTTGACTCATAGAAAAACATAGAAATATGATGGAGGCGCCCTCAGAACCCAAACACACCGATACCGGCCTATACCCCAAGAACATATCCAAACACGTTGTTTTTGTGCATATTTACTGTATATAACATGCGTAAGATGTTGACTCAACAATATACATCAATATACCCCCAATAAAGGGAAGTGGTTGCCAAAAGCAACATTGAACTAAGAGAACAGTCATGCATCGTCGCAAGTGCAGTGTTACAAGTGTTGGTTTTTCTCCAAGAAATTGCTCTTCAATCAAACATACTGTGATTTCTAAACAATTCATAAAATCCTGAGCGCGTGAAAAAATGTGCTTTTCAGCGCAATACCCAAACAAGGAACCAGGAAAGGGCAACAGCCTGAAAAGCAGACCCAGCATCAGAAACGCGTCGGAAAAACTGTCCAAGAGTACAACATCAAGATTAATCGTGATTCATCAATTGAAATGCCAAATCCATGTCAGAAGGCATGCTGGCATGGGAGTGTGGGCAAGCAAAGCGACTGCGATCTTTGCTAGCGTTGCTTTGGCATTCAGTTTTATGACTTGTAACGTCTGTAGCTGCTGACAAGGAGGTTGGGAAGATAACAAGCCTCTCCTGACCAACAACGAAATGTGGTGAAGCTGGGTTTGTTAAAGACTCGTAAACGAATCGGACAATAAACGTTGGAAACATCATGACCGCAACAGAAGGCGAATCGTCCCAGATTACTTCATTTGGCCTTTGCAGAAGTTAGTGAATACAAATTCGTTGTGGTCCACCACTTGAAGTACATGGAACAAAGAGCGCGGTCTTTTGTATTCTTTTCTGTTAAAGCATGAATTGTGTTCTGAAGGATTGCGTTGTTTTGCCCAGCAACTCTTTGTTTCTTAATTGTTCACTCAAGACTTTTGCTTTCCTGCAACAGAACAGACGTAAACAACTGACGTTGTGCAGAGTCAGCGTTTATGCAATGTAGATACATGTAAATGAACATGATAGTTTAAATCCATGGATACGGAAAATTAAAACATGAAAAGGATGGGTTAGCTTTTGATCTTGTATGCAGGTAAAATATTGTGACGTATTATTTTCAGCAGTCACAACCTGAGAGGGAGGGAAAGAAAGCCAGCGAGGGTTGAATGTGCAGAGTCCCTTTTTAAAGCTCGCAAGGCAGGAGTCGGTAACCGCGTTTGCTCCATACATGACATTGCTTCACCCCCCTCACAGCTCGTCCAGCCAACACACCTCCTTAAGCGCTTTATCCATCACAAGCTTCACCCAAATCCAACAAGACCCAAGGATAAGATCCATCAAAAGTTCAAGCATGACGTGCCCCAAAACCCGTTGAACTTCAACAATCTACGACGAGTAAACGACTTTAGCGGGTCCACCTAATACGTAATTTCTGCATCTATGCTTCGCAATTACAAAAAAAGTCCAATTGTGGTTTAGCCATCTTCAGTGTCAAACCCAACGGACCATATCAGCCGTTGGAGTTCATCTAGTGGCAAAACCCTTACCGCTCAGCCTCACAGTTTGCGGACCAGGGGGGAATCGAAGCCCTACCGTCAAAAATTGCGACCTGGTATATGACCCGGAAAAGGACCCACCATAATTTTCGACTTAAACAAATTGCATTTCCACCATTTTGACGCAATAGTCAGCCACTGCCCTCAGACCCCCTAAACTCACTACGTTCGCAACCAACAACTAAGCCTTGCCTGTCGGTTGGCTTTCGTAATAAGTTCTCCCCAGTTTTTGTTTCAGCCCAAGAAACAATAACCGGAAACACCTTTGGTACAAAACGAAAAGGACAATCGCTTGCCAAAAAAGAAATTGCTCTTCTCAGGCTGAAACCAAGAATCAGTCCTGCAAAATGTTTTTGCGTTGTTTCGGATTCCACAGAGGCAGTATTGAAGCTTCTACATCCACGTCGTGAATCTACACTATGTATCATGTTCGGTTTGGTATGAACTTCCATGTGTTCTCTGTCTTTTGCATTGCTTTGGCATGGTTGGGCAAATTAGATCCTACATACAGTATCATAATATGGTCGGCGCCTCCCACAAGTACTGGAACGTAGGTTCTGGGTGGGGTGCGAACCTTCTTTTCCGGCTCAGTGATTCATCAGTCAGATGTATGTCAGTAATTATCTTGTATAATTCATATGACTGATTTACACGTGTCCAGCCATATTATCAAAATAATCGAATTGTATGGAATAGCAACCAATTTGGCCAGATGGTGGCCCAAAGACCACACCTGCCGACAGCCTGTCGACATCTGTCGACCCTACAGTGTCGAATGACTGCCGTGACATGCCGTGACCACTCTGATAACCAAGCCGATCCAATCGATCCAAGTTTCAGGGGCTGCCATGTTTGCGACAAAGAGACACAAAGAGACACAACGAGACACAACACTCGCTAGAGATAATTTGTGCACTGAAAATGGCGGCAGGATGCGGCAGGCATCTTGAATCATCCACTGGCATCCCATTATGGACAACAGATGACAACAGGTTCAAGCTTTGCAGCACTGATGCACGGCAACAACAAATGGCCAACGTGACGAACGTGACTGACGTGACTAATGCACAGGAACAAGTTGAAGTGATTGTCAGCATTGTCTGACTGAGTCCATTGACATGGAAAACCAATGAAAGACATACCAGAAGCGAACGCGTATGTGATCATCTTCTATGTCTTCAGACAGAAGATGAAAAAGCAAATATCATTCTGCTAGACTCAATTCGAGTCACTTTGCACTACACTTGGCTTGGTACATCTTGGCACACAACCTGCACCTCTCTGCACATCTCTGCTTTTTTCCGGGTGAAACAAGGCCCATCTGTCTTCATCATACTGTCTCCATACCAGTACCATACCAGCACCAGGCTGAAACTCTTCACCATTGGGAAAAGAATGGCGGCGGCGAAGAGGTCGCGAATGGTCGCGAGTTGTCGCTACGCATTGCCTGGGATCTTGATCATTGATGATCATTGATGATCATTGATCATAGTCCTACAAACCATCTCAAGGTCATTGAGTCATTGTTCGTCTGAAGAGGAGCCAAAAAACCGTCCCCAGCCATGTCTAATCGTCTCTGGATCTTTCGGATGCCATCTTGAGACACAGGGGCAGAGCTCGTTTGACCGTCAGCCGCAGTTTATCTTTAAAGGCGTTATCAATCGTTATCATGTGTTATATTGAATACCGAGCTATGATGTTTGGGAGAATATCAGGACCCATCACCCGATGAGTCCATTTCCTCTTCAGGCGAAGAGAGAAACTCTGAAGATCAAGACTTGTAGAGGTTTGTTTCATATAGATCCTCAACAGGTCAACAGGTCACATCTTGTGCAATGACAAGATAAAACCAGATAAATGGCTCTACATGGCTCTCTTTGCAGATGTGACAGGATTCAGCTGGTCTCGGAGAAAAATTACTCGAATTTGCACAAAGCAACGGGCTTTTGCCGTGACATGCACCGGCATTCGTCGGTCAAGATGTGTAAGCCTAGCAGGCCTAGCAGTGCCGTGATGTGCCGTGACAACTGCAGAAAAAAGTGCGCTCATTTCGTGTCCAGTGTTCCACCATTTTCCAGCACCCTCAAATGACGAAGTAAGCAAACAGAGTCACATTTGAATACATTTGAATGTTAGTTCCTCCGCAATGAAGTTTCACCAAACTCAACAACAAAGTGGGTGAGATGATGTGAGATGTGCTGCGAGCCTGGTGCGGGCGCCTACAGTTGCTCAGGCCAACTTTCGCAAACCAGAACGTTGTCCTCCAATGCCGAGGCATCGTCATCATGGTCCGAGAAACTGAAAAGATATTCATGCAATATGCATGTAAAATGGGCTAAAATTAATAATTTATATATAATTTATATACTCATCCTGGCCTTGGCCCACAATTTTGTGAACCGTGTGAGCCATGTACATCTCTACATATCTCTACCCCTATTGGCTATGATTGGCATTGGCCAGAGTACGCCCATCAAGTTTCATAGCAAGACATAGAACAAATTGTAACATATTGTAACGATGGTTCAAGATGGTTCAAGTTTCAGAGCATGATCTCAACTCGGGAACCGAATCTGCACCTGAGCCCTGGCTAGACCAGGAAGGATCGCATTGACGTGCGTGACGTGGCCGGGAGTCTCACAGGTCTCAATCGCATCCACCTTCACAGGAATTTGCTGTGCTGGTGCATGCTGGTGCCGTTCAAATCTCCAATCCAACGTGCAAAATGTAACTCATTGCAGCTCCCTGATTGTGAGTGGATCTTGATGCGAACACTTGAACATATTTGAATATGCCAAGAATCAAGAATTGACAGCAGAATTTCTGCATTCCATTTCAAACATTTTCCAAACAGTAGCTCAAGGAAGATCCTTCTGTCCTGCCTCTGAAGCTCCTTGCGACGCTTCTTGTGAATGTTGCTCTTCAACCTGGCAACGCGGTTGGTCAGCACCTTGCGAAGTCATCGCCAGTTGATTCTGAGGCTTAACCCAAGAATTCACATGAAATACCGAAATACCCAAACATACCCAAACTGCGGTTGTAACTCCTGCGATACTCCCCAGACATCCTCAGACATTCTAAAGGTATGGGGCCATATGGGGCCATATGGGGCCATATGGGGCCTCGTAGCCTCGTTCCTGTGTCCTGTGAATTTCAATGCGTCCCGTCCCATCTTTCCGGAGGCCAAATCTGGCCTCGGGCAGTTTCGGTTCCTTTGCCTTCGGATACACCTGCCAATCAAGGGCCAATGCCGATGAATTTCTTTCATGACGTCAAAAAGCGCAGAAAGGTCAGATAGTTTATATATAAAGTGTACAGTGTACTGTATCATATTATATACAGTATATATATATATACATACTAGTTATACAACCAAATGCCAAAGTCTATGGCATGCGGCATGAGCATCAAATCATCTGAACACCACTCCCCCAATACTGCCCGATGAAGTGCATGTCGACCCTGGGCCTGAGGAGATAGCATGTTGGACAGCGATACTGCGCAGCGACTTCGAGGTGACCGAGGTGCAACAGAGTCCATTCACCGACACGTCATGTATCGTCACTTTAGAGGCCCCACATGATACGAATTGATACGGTCCAAAAAGTTGTTCAAAAATGGTTGGGACATGTTGGGACCTGAATCTTCAGGGCATCTTTCAAAGCTCGGCAATTTCGAAAGAAACTTTGGGCACCTGATCAATCAAAAAATATCAAAAATAGCACGTGCTACACCTGTTAATCAAAGCAGCTATTGTTGTGATGTGATCTCCAAGGTGTTGATGTCTTCATGGTCAGCAACCATCTCTGTGAACAACCAGCGTGACCCAAGCTGGCGTTTCGAGTGCAGCACACAGTCAAATGATATTTCCATATATTTCCTTTATGCTCGATGATCCAAAAACAATCACTCTACCAAGTCAAAATTGGCTACTCTAAATGTCTAGATGACTATACTGACTATACTAGGCCACTTTCGCGGCTCTGCGGGGAAGTGATGGGAAGTGGCAGTTGGGTTTTCCAAATTTCAACATATTCGGAGCAGCTCCTTTGCTGCCCATGGTCGAGAGCTCCATCTGCACCTCCTTCCACCACGGATCGTCACGCTTCATTGGGTCATGGTTCATTGGGTCATCCATGGTCATCCCCTCAAACTACGTGGCACTTCAGTGTCATGCAGTAGGAACTCGGAACTTTTGTGATTCTTTATGAAATTGACAAAGAGTGTCTTTCCAGACGCCAAAAAACATGGTGCTCTCAAGAAAGATGAGGCACTTCCACATGATAATCATGATATTTCAAAAAAAAATATGTTCAAACAATGTTTAAACAATGTTTAAACCAGGGCACGCAAAGTTTGACAATGCCGGTCTCCAACTTCTTCAAATTCACCTGCCGTTCTGAGCACATGATGTCCATGGAACAGGATCGAAATGGATCGAAATGGATCACACTCCGATTTTATCTCCGAGACACCCGAGGATCAAAAACATATTGCAACATATTGCCACTGAGGCAGCAAAAATCAGCAAAAATCAGCAAAAATCAACAAAACCTACATCCATCTACATCTGCATCCTGTTAATCCTATCTATATCCTGTATCATCCCAAACATCTTGGCGCCAGGAAGATGTTGGAAAGTCAGAATCAAATCGGTGATCCACTCAGCTAGACCTCCACGTGGCCCATGAATTGACCAAGTTGTTGTGACATCCAGTTCTGTTCATGCTGCATCTTCGCCTGCAGACAGGAGTCTCGAAGGAGTCTCGGGTTTCTTTGTCATGTTCCCCCCAGACAGAGGATAGATGTAAAGAACATCAAAGAACATATACAGTACAGAAGTATATTTTTCGATGTCACTCAGTTTTCTTGGCAAAAGGACGCTGCTTTGCACTGTTTTTGGGTGAAACAAACTCCCTCTGACCATCAAAACCACCCAAAAGAATCCAAAGGCATCAAAGGCAACCAACAAATACAATGTTAACAGAGACCTAGATTTTGGAACGCTAGATATCACCGCACCCCGCTGGCCCGTACCAAGCAAACAACATCTGTGGGCTCCAGCCCAATGACAATACTTTTGGGGTTTTGCAAGCAGCAAGAGGATGGCACAACCTGCTGGTAATAAAGAAATGTATATAAAGAATATCAGTAACATGAAGATGACATTGCAATTCTGACATGATCACTGAAAATTGCTGTTCACCACTTTCCCGTTGGATTTGACTTGTTTACCCCAGAATCACTTGATTTTTAGGTGAGAATGTTGATAATCAACCCACTGGGTTTCTGCTGGGTTTGCCCCGTTATCCCAGATGGGTTATCCCATGATATCCCCGTGAGATCACCATATGATATCAATTCCAGCCCATTATCTATGAAAACTACCACTATCTAAATATGTGGTTGCAGTATATACCATGTATTATAGTTATCTGTTGACTCGACTTAAGCATTCTAAAACAAAAACTCCCATGATCAGTTGTTAGTTAACCATATGTATATATATATATACATGCATATATTCATACATTATTTCCATACATGCATACATTCATATCATTATTTATATATATAATATAGGTAATATAATGTAATATATATATATATAGTAATATCATTTCATCATTAATATATCATCAATATGTCTTAGTATTACTTTGCCAACATTTCTTTGTCAAGGCACCAGATCCAAGGCACGAGCAGGGCCGCGGAGGCGAAGACCTCGGAAGCCCAACAACAAAATGCCTATATTTTTCTGAATAAAAATGGTTGATATAGGTGAAGTATATTGAAGCATCATACAATTCATACAATTTTTTTAAGAATAACAACATGGGCATTGGGGCATTGGGTTGAGTTTCAATGGAAGACGAAATTAGGTGAATTCAGGTGATTACTTTGGTCAAAAATTTGAGGCCCAAATTTAGAGCATCCGATTTATGCGGAAACCAAAGTAATAAATATAGTATTACTATGTATTACTATAGTAATAAAGTAATAAACCTATTTTATGTTATACCCGAAGTATTGCTGTCATCTCCACAATCAACAATTATAGTTAAGGTATGTTAAGGTGAATTCTACATCTGTTCCTGGCACATGGGTTTGTCCAAAAATAAGGTATCTCAAATTCAGTGGACCATTCGACATGTTTCGAAAAACTCCAGTCTTGGGGTAAACCCGTTGTTTGGACAAACCCAAGCGGCATGTTTAAAGGCAAGCATGCTTTCGGAAGGCCATGGAGCTCATTTTTGGGCGAAGAAGGCGAAGCGTCCAGTGCCAAAGGTCCAGCAAATCACAAGAAGTATTGATGTAGCCGCTGTAGCAGTAATAAAAACATGTTTGTCGGTACATTGATATAGCCTGATACTCTATCCGAGTACTACCCGGTGCCTCTTTGGAGAAAGAAGAGGAGCATAGACCGGCCACCGAACCGTCAGGGTTCTAATGTCAAGCCCAAAACATAGTGAAATCAATCTATCTCCACTATGTGGGGAGATGGTCAAAGTATGTCATAGTTATCTTGTTCATTTCCCTTAGATGCAGGATGAACAGTCCAGCAAAAGTAAAGGTTCATAAAATCACCTGGTACACGGTCCTACCCATAGTTAAACAGATTTTGAGTGCGAGTTGGCAGCTACCTGTGGTTATCCCAAAACAGGGTATACCGTATACCCCAAAAATATCCAAAAATCTACAGTGGTCTATCAAGTTCCCCATTCAAATGACAAGTTTGGTGTATATCTCAATATTGAGACACCATCTAATGACTTGTAACCAAGCAACAGCCCATCAAAAACCTCGGCACCAGCCGACAAGATAGCAAAGCCACGCAAGCCCAAAGCGACACTGTCAATCATGACGGAAGCCACTTCTACAAATACAACTGAGTCTATGAGGTCAAACTCTTGGAAGGTGAACTTGATGTGTCAATGTGTTGCGGTCATGAGATACAGTATAAAGAAATCTGAGCAAACCAATCAATTGGATGCATAAGACATAAGAACAGGAGGGCGGATCAGGAGATAGTGGCAAATCAAAGAAGATAAACACCAAATTTTGCCAGCAACAATGACCTGTCCTCGTGGTCCCATTTGCTGGTCAGCCAATCTATATCTGCAATACACATCCTATCTGTGATAACTTACCTTTGTTGTTTCTTTTGCCAAAAGCATCTGCTTTGAAGCAGAGGAACTCTTCAATTTCGATGGCCGCTCCACCATCAGTATCAAGCAATTTGAAAAATGTCCACCTGAGGAGCGCATGAGCCACTCAACGTTCGGGCGCTGACATATCTTCCAAAGTTAAACTGAATTGACTCCTGGGAATCACTTCACCTGTCGAAACTCCTAAACACTACGGAAAAAGTGGGAATCCAATATGACATACATTGCCATACTATGACCATGTATTGTTATTAAATGTTATTACGCAGAATACGGGACGTTTGACTCTAACTTTCACTCAACAAGGATGGGCTCCGACGCATCGTGCACATCCAGCTCCAGGGCTTCAAAGTAGGTGGTCACCTGGGAAATCCACGGATTCAAAGATTTTTCTACATGGTCTGAGATAGAAATAGAATAGAAATGGCATGAAATGAAATGGATATAATATGATATAATCAAGTATACAATATCATATTGTACGATGTAATATCTCTGTATATAGATCACATATCAGACGTCCTATCATATGTCATGCGTATCAACAACAGACAACTGGCAGATATATAACTAACGAAAGTAAACGAAAATACTTTGAACAATACTGAGTCAACGTTTATCCTCATCGGGTATTGGCAGTGGCATTAGGCCACTACAGTACAAAATGAATCATGACCAATCGAAAGCGGGACTGATGTGCTTCAGACAAATAAAAAACATAGCTTATCCACATATTATGATGATCTGGACGCCAACCATTCTATGAAATGTTGGGCCAAGCCCATAGAGCAAGTCAACGAAAGGCATCATTAGAAGTATCTGATCCGTTTCAGTTTTAATCCTGTTTAATCCTATCAGAATAGACTTCAAAGAGAAGAGAATCTGTAATCATCTGTCGACTTTAACAAGTCGCGCTTCCTGAAGTTGCCCGTCGAACAAGAATGGAGGTTGCAAACAAGGACAGATCAGACAAGTTCGATAAAGACAAGGACAGCTCGCATGCCGAACACCAGGAGACAAATTGGTAGACCAAGACCAAGCCAAAATTCAGCATCTCCAGTGAATCTTAAGAATGCTCACAGTACTTTGAAAAGAGTAGGAAATTGTTTCGGGATGTTTAGGCAATTTATCTTTTTTTGTTTAGGTTTTTGGGGGGGATTCCTGGTCGTGCCCTTTTTCAATGCTATTTGCAACTTTTTGGAGCTGGAACCTTTCATTTTGCATGCTACGCACAGCATTTTAAAGCTAGAACCTTCCATCTTGCATACTACTAGTATTAGCATGTATTAGCAGCATTTTATAGTTGGAACTGCTTTTTGCAGCATTTTGCAGCTGGATCCTTCCATTTTGCTTGCCAGTTGCAACCATTGGGAGCTGGAACCTTTGATTTTGCATGATCTTTGCATGTATTTGCAGCATTTTGGAGCTGGAATCTTTCATTTGGCATGCTATTTGCAAGTTGTTGTTAGTTGTTGGTGGTTGGTTGTCGTCTGTTATATAGTCGTTTATTCTTGTTTGTTTTGTTATTCTTGTTGCAGTTATAGCCGCTGTTCTAGTTGGTGTAGTTTTTGTATTTGTAGCTACAGTTATAGTTGTAATAGTAGTTTCTTGTTGTTGTTGCTTTCGATGTTGCTGTTGTTTTTGTTGTTGCTGTTGCTGTTGTGGTTGTTGTTGGGGTAGCGAACACACCAACAACTGTTGATGTTGTGGTCTTTGTTTGGGTGTAGGCCTCGTTTGTGATTTCCTGACGCTTGTGGCGTTGGTTGCGGTGAACAGGTGAACACAAACAAAGCCATGAAGTCAAGAAGCCGTACAGCTTTGCAAAGCCAAGAAGAAAGAAAGCTGGCGAAACAATCAAGGCCAAAAAAGCAGAGAAACGAACAACAGAGTGTGCGTGGTATGTGCAATATGATGCAATATGTTCAGCATTCTGCAACCTCAACCTGCATTGTGGAGATAGAACCTCGCATTTTGCATGGCATCTGCGACATTTGGAAGATAGAGCCTTTCATGTTGCATGGTATTTGCAGGATTTAGCAAATGACATTTGCAACATTGTTGAACTTCAACCTTTCATTTTGCATGGTGACTTTCCATGTTGGTTAAACTAAAGCATTGTAAAATTTCAACTTGTTACCAGCTCATTTAGATCATGGTCTTTACACCAACGCAAAGATACCAAAAAGGGCAACAACGAAAGCATGCAACAAGAGGAAGCATGGTTGCCGTTGTAGTTGTTATTGTTTCTCTTGCTGTTCATGTTACTCTTGTTAAATTGTTGCTTTGGTTACCTGTGTTGTTCTCGTTGTTCTTTTTGTATTTGCTGCTCTTGTCGTTCGTGCCCTTGTAATCAATCAGAACGACAAGGAAGCAAGTAGATAAAAAGAAACGAACGCAGAAAAAATACAAAGCAGAGAACAAAAAACGGAGAAACACAAAACAGACAAGCAGAAAAACAGAGAAGCAAACAAAGAAGTGGAAGCCAAAAAAAAGAAAAGCAAAAATACAGAGAAGCAAAAAAAACAGAAAGCCAAAAAAACAGAGAAGCAGAGAAGCAAACACAATAGAGAAGCGTAGAAGCAAAAAGAAACAAAAAAGCAGAGAAGCAAAAAAAAACAGAAAAGCCTAGAAGCAGCACAGTAGAGAGGGGAGACAAAAAAAAACTAAACTTCGAAAAACATGCCCTAAATAAATGGTCCTCCCTTTGAAAAGGACTTATAACCCCTGTAAGGAAAAACATGTGATTGTTTCTCAAAACGGTGACCAGTTGGAGCTAACCACTTTTAAGATCTTTTAAGAAACTTTGTTCAAGCTCAGCATGATTTCATCCCCAAGACCCCACTGAAGCATTTTGTTTGGGCAGGTTTGAATCCCCAATTTTGTTGGCAAATCGATTCATAATATGTTCATTGGCTAAACACGGCTAAACCACTTTCGTTCAAATTTTGTATCTCAACTCAACTTCTCAACTATGTTCACTTTTCTCAAATGTCCCAAATGATATCTCCCCAAATGTCTCAACACTTCCATCCAGTGGCCGACTTTTTGTCGATGTTCTGCTCTAGCTCCTTGAGGCTGATGTAGCCGGAGTCGTCAGCATCCAAGTTTGTAAACAAGGATCTGACCTTCCGAATATGCGCCTGCCAGTGAGCTCCAAAACAACATGAAACAACTATAACATTAGCATAACATCAGTATAACATCAGTATAACATCTATCAAAAAGAACAAAGTTGCTCCAATCCAAGGATAGTGAGAGTATGTGAGATTTTGTGGTGCGAGCATGGCAAGACTTCTCTGCCAGTTGACAAACGTGTGATCGAATTGCTGCAGCTGGCGACTTTCGATCGAATTGCTGAAGCCATCTGAAGCCTCTTTGTTTGCAATGATGTTCTGCATGATCATTTCCTGAGACTGGGATCGGAGCAAATATACCAATCCCAACGTTGGCTACACCGAACGCTATCAGTCACTATCAAGCAAAAATGGTCTTAAGTCTTAAGAGATGTCAAGATTGTTGGGCAGTGTAATCCAAAAGCAATTGATGTGCAATCCAATTAATCCAATTCATCCAATTAATCCAATTAATCCAATTAATCCAATTACAAAATCCACAACTTAACAATTACTCCAGATTAAGTTATCTAATATTATAATATATTATATCATTAAGCTGGCGGTGGACGTCCATGAAACATCAGGAAATGGCGTGAAGCTAAGCTGCGTGATCACTTTGGGCAGATTCGATCGCCTCGCTGAGATCACCAACAGTTTTGCACATTCGGGCGGCAAAACTTATGCATCAAAAGCCAAGGCACGCTTTGGCAAAACACGCCCGTAACCACGTTTAAAACCTGATTTTGCATTTGCAGCAGCAGACTGAACCATCAGGGCCAAAACAGCAAACATGACCATTCTCTGCAACCAACTCCAAGTCGAGGTGCCGCAAAATAAGAAAATGAAATGTAGAAGAGCAGAAGGAAGACCTGAGCTTCCCAGCGTTGGCAGATCTGCTATTACTGGCCCAATCAATGGACATTAATGGACTGTTCTGGCCTTAAGAGGGCTTGAGCACCATCGGAAGCTTATGTCCAAGACACGCAAAAAGGAGACACCTTTTGCATGGGTCTCAAGGCTGCTTCCCAACTGAGACCGCCTGTGATACTCCTTGGTCACAATGGCTGTGAACAGTGCTGACAGCAGCTGTCTTGCTACAATGTCTGAGAAGAGTCAAGATAGTCAAGCAAACAGACAGCTTGGAAGCTAGGCCAGCGGGAAAAACCATAGAAACGCATAAAAGACAACAAGATACCCACTGACATGATATGGTTCAAGATTCCTTGCACTTGAAGGCCGAAAGGGCCGAAAAAGGATAGAGTTGAGCCTTTCTGGATTTCCACAATACCCGCAACACTGATCAATCCTCATCTGCAACCAATAAACATGGGTATAGGCCTATATACTTGATGATTCAGTGATGATGTTGTTCAATCAATACATATATCATATATGTATACTGTATACGTATGTGGCATGTCTGTGCATTGGGTTGAATGGCACCCTGTCTGTCCTATGACGTCCCGACTCGTTGTCCCTCCTATTTTTGATGAATCATGATTCAAACAGCCAGAATCTGAAGCGACCCCACAGCCACGCCCCCCTGAGAACCAGGCATGAACAAAGTCAGCATGGAAGTGGGTAAATCAGACCAGTACAAGTCGATGCCATCCAAGGTCTCCATTGTCGGACCTGTGCACACTCTGCACCAGCGGCATGTCACAACGCTTCCCCATATCCACTCTGGGCCTAGTTTTGACCCGAGCTCACATAGCACTGATGGCTACTCACAAACCTGCATGTATCTAGAAATGTTGAATTGTATACCATTGTATACCCCAAGAATCTCCACTTCTTTTGTTGGTTTCTATATGTTTCTACAGTTCTACATGTTTACATGGCTTAGACCCTTTTTCCACTGCTCAACATCCACTGCATCAGGTGTTGATAGCGTTCCTCGTATTTTCTCGTCCTGGGAAGTGAATACATGGTGAAGAGATATGCACTCTGATTGGATCTGATTAGCCCAAGAGGCTCTCCGTGGAGCTTGCCCCAAACATCACGGCCGCTTGAGTGAAGACAATGCCAAACCTCAGAAGACGCCCCGAGAAATTGCCACTTCTTTAAAGTTCGTGCGCTATATAAACGTTGTGCCAAGTTTTTATAATATTGTTCAAAGCAGTTTGGCCTCTACCTTTGGTGCGCCCCTTGAAGGACAAATGAGGTTTCATTTGCCCATGCTTCCAAGTGAGATGCTGATGCAGCACTGATGCAAGTGCAATCCAGTGACCCGTAGATGATCAAACACAACAGGACGGTGGCCCAGATCAGGGACTTCAAGGTGAAAACGATGGAACTCACCAATGTCCTCAAAGCTTTGATGAATCCTCAGCGGGTTGAACGCGACTGCTTGGGAGGCAAGAAGTGTGCACTCACTTTTATCAATCAATCAATCAATCAATCAATGTCAATCAACCAATCTATCTACTGTATCCATCCATCCATCCATCCGTCCATCCATCCATCCATCCATCCATCCATCCCGATCAATTATCACAGATTCATAGCTTGTCATAACTGCCTTCTTGCTCCTCTATGCCCTCTCAGAATCCCGAGGAATTGCTCTGAACCTTCACGCGATTTTTTTCAAGGCAGCTCAGAAATTGCTCTGTTCGAAGGCAGTTGGGGGCAAAGGAGGGGCAACAAAGGAAGCCTCAAAGTCTGCCAGGTGCCAAGCATCGTGTGATCCGCGCAATGCGCGTGAGGCGCACCAGCCGGGTGATGCGAACGATTCGGATGACCCGCAAATTCGACAAACTCTCCACACCAGTGTTGGGGGGAGCGCCCTTGGCTGTCGGCCCTTCAGCCCTTGAATTGAAGTGACTTTCAAGGCTGAACAGAATTCAAACATATTCAAATGCATCCAAGTGTCTGCGTATATCAAAGTCAATGTGATCTGGCGCAAGACATGTGTTTCATTGGCTCATGGATGCTCATGGGTGACAGCTCAAGTATGCTCCGGGCGATCACAGGATGGCCATGTCTGTAGGGCACCTGAACCAAGGTCTCGAAAATGGCACTGCCCACGATCAGCAGGTCCATGCAGTTCCAGGCCCAACTTTCTCCCTTGAAGAAGAGAGCAGGTCCTCAGCAGCAAAGTGGAAATTCACTGAAACCGTCATTGAGGACTCATGCATCCTCATTCCATCAGGGCAAGATGTTGCACATTGTTGCATATAATAGTTGCATTTAAGGACAGGAAACTGATGGAAAATGTAGTGTATCTGGAGTACGAGTATCTGTATCTACCTCCCATCTACTCAGTGTGTCTTCGCACAGATCAGTAAAATAGTAAGAATCTGAACGTCTCTCTGATTCAATTAAACTAGATTTAAACATTAAATCATGAAATTATGCTGTTTTTACATAAACAGCATGAACACATCACAATGCATCTGATCTCCCTGGAAAAGCACCCTTTGCAGCTAGGTCTCCAAGACCAACAAGTCGGAAGATCAGCTCCACCAAAAACAGAAAGTTGTAGACTTGCCCAATGACCTAAGTCCCCAAAATGACAAGAAAATCACCATGGAAATAGATCAAATAATGATCAAATAATACAGAACTGTACAGAACAGTACAGAATCACTTTTTTATCTGGGGAGCCCTAGAGATTTGATGAGATTTGTTGAGCCACGTACAAACGCAAGAATCGATTAGAGATCTGATCAGAAAGGACATGGTGACACCACCAAAATCGGCATGCTGCGGATGCTCCATGATTTGCCAAGCAGCCTCACCCCAAATTGGACTCGGTCCTGTGGGGGCCAACATAGCAACAGTCATCTCAGCCGCAAAAGTGTCCCAACTAGAAAAATGGAAACTGGCTGTTGCCGCTGCTACGGCCTAATCTTGATTCAACGGTTCAAAACGTTCAAAAGACATCGAAAGGCCATAAAAGACTGAAGTCTTCAGCGGAGATGTCAACTAAATCCTTGGCTTTCGTGCCTGGATTTTGAACATAGTACTCCACCTCCACTCCAAGGAAAACTGCATTGGAGATGATGCACACTGCGAAGAATGCCTCGAAAGGCCTTTGCAGGTGGAAACAAATGAGAATGGTCAGAATGGTGGTGTAGAATGAGGGGATCGAAGAACTGATGCAGGATTCATGAGGACTCATCAACATTCGAGCTGGGCCAAAAACCTATCTATTGTGGTTTATTTGGCATTCTGACTCTGCTGATGCTTATGCTCTGCTGACTGATGCTTTGTGGCTGAAGCTGATTGTTCCAAGTATTTTCCTGGGAATCATTAAACTGCAACTGCCAAATGCTACCAGAAAAGGTGTTTTTTTACTCCCAACACCAACTTGTGGCCGAGATTCACTGACATCACGAATCTTCTCAAAGTGCCACGCCAGCCCGGAGGCAGCTGGCTCTTCTGCGATTTGGAGCGCTGCCGCAGAGACCTTGAGGACGCACGGTGGCTGACCGCTGACCGCTTGGTCGTTGGATTAGCACAAACGCCTGCGACAACGCTGATCAAGCTTTAAATCGAATCATAGTTAAATAGTTTATTAAATAATTTAATGTTTGATCATTGTTTAATCATTGACATTTTCTTGATATTTCTTGAGTTTTGATATGTTTTGAGTATTTTGATTTTTTGAACCACTTCAGCTCTGTTCAGCTCTGTTCAGCTCTTCCAGGCCGTTCTGATCGCCGCCGTTCTGGTCGCCATCGCCCATTAAGCCCAGCCACGTGCTGCTCCCTGGACTGTCAGGACCTGAGCAGCGTGGATGACCATGGAAAGCTTAGTAAATTCATCGGCCGTGTTGCCTTGTTTCATGTTAATTTCAGGGATGTATCCATGGTGTATCCATAGTTATCCTATCCATGACTGAGGTTGGTACGAAGACCTTCACTCTGTTCTTCCAGATCCATGGTGTGGGAGGGAGATAACTCCACTAAAGAAGCGCGTTTTCGCTTCTGGTTGTCCTGGCTAGCATCCACAGAGCGGGGGCCAGATACAAACAAAAACCTTTGCATCTTTTTGCCACTTCCTAATCAGGCCATCTGCTGAGTCCCGCCAGCCAACAGATAAGTCAAATCGCTCCTGCATCGTGATGGTCCTGAAGATTGTTGGCTCAGACTCCCCTCGGCTGATGGGAATGCGCAGCTGGTTTGAGGATCCGTGAGAATTCCTCCAGAATGTCAGATATTCACTCACTTGACACAAACACACCCATCACATCATGAATATCATGACATAAATCTTAGCTGTCGTGCAAACGTATCACATCCTCTTTCTTTCTGCTGAAGGAACTGAACACCTACCGGCCCTGCCTACTCTGTCCAATTCAGAAAGAAAGGTTTGAGCATAGGTATCAAGAGCTGGTGGAAGTGGAGCCTGGCACGACTCGCAGCATCCTGCTCCTCTGCAGGTGAACCCATAGAGCGCGTACTGAAATGTACTGAAGGATCCTGCTGATCCTTACACTTCCTATCACTTCCTATCACTTCCTATCACTTCCTATCACTTCCTATCACTTCCTATCACTTCCTTGTGCCAAACTCTAAAGGTATCTAAAGGTCACGGTTGATTCCAGGATGGTGTGAGAGCCATGGGTGGGACCTTGAACCAGCATCAAAGCATATCAAAGCGAGTGAAGTGAGTAAAAGCGATATAAGTCGGTACCAGTCGGTACAAGTCGGTACGAGTCGGTACAAGTGAGTGTGCAAAGACTTTCAACGTCAAATGAGCTCGGATGGTCATCCCAAGAAACCACCAGCCTCTCCATACACCGAGATATTGCGACTGCGTGATACCTCCTCAAAATCCTGAAATACAGTTGGCTAAACAAAGCTAAACAGCAACCACTGAGGCAATGCCAAATTGCAGCCTTGAAACTGCAGAGCACTGCAAAGCAGAAAGAAATCTGATCTTGGTTGATCATAATCGTTTAGTCACACTTTAGTCTACCAGAAGAATCCCCAAAAATTTGCAGGAAAGGCGCATAGCGTCCCATGGGACCCCAGGAAGATATATATATATATATACGTATATATATATATATACATATATATATACGTATATATATATACATATATATATATATATTACATATACATATACATATATGTACGTGTATATATATATATATATATAACCTTGACTGCTCCATCAACTGTGAGTTGCTATGAGTCAGTCCTGAGATGCCTGAGCTAGTTCATCAACCTGTCAATGTGGCCGAACGTGGCCCAATAGAACGCGGCACGGCTCCATTTGAGCTTAAGGATGCTTAAGGGATCTTAAGGGGTTGGAGGTGTTCAGTGCCTTTCAGTGCTTCTTTCATAACCATTTCATGACCTTTTCATGGTCTTTCAGAAGTGTTTCAAGATGTTTCAAGATGTTTCAAGTTTGGGAGTACCAGCTACCAGTAAGAAATATCAGCTGGGCCCCAAGATCCGGTCCACATGTCATGTCATGGTGACCTCCTTAGCATCCTCGTCCTCTAGGGCCACCAGTTCGCTGTGTACCTCTTCCGGTTTCCTTGGTTTCTCGCTTTCATCACAGGATGCTTTTGAAGAAAGAACATCAAAAACGATTTCTCGGAATGTTCATGACTCAAAATAGAGAAACAAGCAAACGGAATCCAGTATCAGATTTTGAGTGCAGCGCACTTGCTCTTGAAAGTAAACAGAGGTGGATGTGGCTTCTCGCTCTGCGGGCTTCGAGCATAGGAGGAGTTATAGCACCTGCGTTCAAGGGGGGGCAAAACCATCAGCCACAAGCCCTCCTTGTAGAGAGGGGATGGGGAATGTGTGCCCAAAGGAGCTGGTGAAAGAGGATGAAATCTCGAAAAACTCATGTTAGGTGTCTGAAGAATCTGAATCATTGGGTCATTGGCTTAACGAGCTCCAACAGCAGTGCATACCCAACATTTTTGGATTTAACAATATTTAACATGGTTTTTTAATGTGTTTAATCACCTCAAAACAAGGTTGGATTTGGTCACATTCCACCAGCTGCAAGTTCATGGTTTTCCAGCTCCACCACACGTTTCAGCCAGCTGTTTTTCACTGGCCGGGCCATCCACAATTTTGCGGCAGCCAATCATCAAGGGATCCGACTCTGGTGGTCGTCATGACCTGCCTTTGGCAGTTCTGGTCGCTGTGCCTTTCGAAAAAGGACATCCGCTCGTAAGACGTACTTGGTGCCAAAAGTCACCTCAGATTCCTCCTGTGGAGTGCACAGTTCACCTCGGTGAAGATGGTTTCAGGCACAAACTAACAGATACAACCGAATATAACCCCCTTGTTTGTTGCTAATCTATGCCAATACAAATATCTTTGCTTGTTTATATTGTTTTGTCTTTCTTGCCTCAATATTCATGGCAAACCCCCACCTTGTGGATAGAACAATGCCATTCCAGTGGACGCAGTGAAGATCACTGGCTCTTTGAATGGCACGTGAAAAATGCTGACACCACCCTCAAAATCCGTAGAATCGGAAATGTCGGAGTTGGAGCCCGAGTTGAGGAAGATGCGTAAAGAGTACTTCGAAACTCGGCCATCTGACAGACTGATGGGTCGATCCGAGTGAAGGGAAACATAACCTCCCTGTACGAACTTCTGAATCCGGATGACCTCTTTGATGCCACAGGGCACCAGGTCTTCCAGTTTCATGGTACGCAACAAGCAGCCCAAACCCGCGCTCCAGAAAGCGTTCGCAAAGCATGGATCAATGAAATCCACATAGGACATGTCCACCACCCGGGATCGAAAATGATCCCGGAAGGACATGGAACTTTCAGCGAAGTCGATAATCTTTTTGCACTCTTGCGGAGATAAAAGGGAAGGAATTCCCATGCAGTCCACATTCCGATAGTGCACCGGTTCTGGAAACCGATTCCCCTCGAAGATCAGCGACAACTTGGAATGCAACCTGGAGGAACGGATTCAAATTCAGAATCAAAGAACCCATGACACATTCAAACATGTTCAGACTATGTGATGACGTGATTAATTATATAAGATCATATGCGGGTCTCGATTGCTAATAATACTAGCACTGCATGATTTCTTCTCTAGCTGCATCCAGTGAAAGGTGCAATATGGGAAGCCACAACATGCAAATTATTGCCGGAGACAAAAATTAAGGAGACCAAAAAGGCCAAACAGAAAATAAAGTTTTGACAAACAATTTCTGTTAGGTGGTCGTGGCAGCTCTTTGGGGCGTGGTCGTCGTTTCTCAGGTCGCATAGACTTTGGCGCCTGGATGACCATAGCTATCTCCACACCTTCGTGTCTGTCGTGAGACACTGTCACCTCAGTTGACACGACACCCGTCATATCCGTCATTACAGGAAAGAACTGTCGATTTCTACTGCCACATTGCATTCCAAAAGCTACAAAAAGTGACTCAGAGATTCAGAAGCAGCTTTTCACTGCCCACTCGCAAAAAGGATCCATTTTGCAACTTCAGTTCAAAATCAACAAACTATTCCCATTTGTCAAGAAGCATTGTTTATGCTTATCATATTTGATTGATCAATTTGGCTGGGTATGGGTCATGTTTTTCCTCCAAACAAAAGAGCGACTCCTTCAAAACTACCGAGGTGTGGTCTGTCATTCAAACCATCGCCCACTGCCCACTTGCTTGGACCGAACTCAAAAGGTCAAGACGGCCCCTGATGAAATTTCCTCAAGATCGGCATGATTTAACTGTACAATCTTCAAAATCCACCAAATAACTACTGCGCCTCCTTCAGAACTCTCCGAACTGGCCTAACGGTAGTGAAGTTCCAAAATGTTCCAAACGAATACAAATAGGCCCACAGTCCTACAATACAAGCTTCATTGGGAACTTAATTAATGGCTTGAGCCCTTATGTTGTGCAGGTAATTGCCCCTGTCTTTGTGGATGCGATATACCCCCCGCCTTTGTTTTATCTGGGAGTGCCAGGGGAAACGCGGGTGCATATTTGCCCTCTTAACCCAAAAAAACTGCACCCAGGTTTGATTTGTCGTTCTTTGACGAACACTCCGTCAACACCAAGCAAGGCACGGCTACTACCTTTGGATAATTACTCAATTTCTGATTTGCAACGTTATGCGAAGTTAAATAAGTTAAAGCATGTTAATGATGTTAATGATGTTAATGATGATAATGATGTTAATGATGTTAATGATGTTAATGATGTTAATGATGTTAATGACGTTAATGATGTTAATGATGTTAATGATGTTAATGATGTTAATGATGTTAATGATGTTAATGATGTTAATGACGACGTTAATGATGTTAATGATGTTAATGATGTTAATGATGTTAATGATGTTAATGATGTTAATGATGTTAATGATGTTAATGACGTTAATGATGTTAATGATGTTAATGATGTTAATGATGTTAATGATGTTAATGATGTTAATGACGATGTTAATGATGTTAATGATGTTAATGATGTTAATGATGTTAATGACGTTAATGATGTTAATGATGTTAATGATGTTAATGACGTTAATGATGTTAATGATGTTAATGATGTTAATGATGTTAATGATGTTAATGATGTTAATGATGTTATGATGATGTTAATGATGTTAATGATGTTAATGATGTTAATGATGTTAATGATGTTAATGATGTTAATGATGTTAATGACGTTATGATGTTAATGTTAATGATGTTAATGATGTTAATGATGTTAATGATGTTAATGATGTTAATGACGTTAATGTTAATCTGTTAAACCCTTCCAATATGTCCAATTTCTCCTTGGGTCACTGGCAAAGGAATGACCGCCGTAGCCATGGCCGAGTCATCAGGATGCTCATCCCAACGCAGCGTGGCACGTGGCGTGGCATGCGTGGCACGTGGCGTGCGCGCTGTCCGTGGAGCTGAGGGGAGACCTGCACAGGGGAACAGGATACACAGGAGCCACATGGAGTTGGAAAAAGTATGGAAAAAGTATGGAAAAACGTCTGAATGTGTCTGAGGAATGTCTGAGGTGGAACATGTTGGAACAAGAGACCACGAGAAGCCTTAGGTTTTATTTGCTGAGATTGGGCCAGGTAAGAAACATGGAATCAATATTGATCAATCTAATACTGAAATATTTGAAATACACTATTTTGTTTTTGAAACATTACTGGTGGACTTCTTTCCAAAAGCCCCACAGTGAACCCAGAGTGGCGAAGGTTTCAGCTCTGCCATGAGCCAACGGCAGCCGTTCCCGAAAATCGCAGAAGTATGTCCCCATACCAAACGGGTATGGGTCAAGGTCTATGGTGTTGACAACCACCGATTTCGGTTTAAAGTAAACACCATTTTGGAAAGTGTATAATCTGCTTCTGTTGGTTCTATTCTACCGTTTTTCACATATGATAGTCTCAATTTGTCGGTAAAAACCACACCTCGGAGGTGTCTGAGTCGTTTCACATCTGCTGGGACCAGATCTTCATAGGCCAAAGTTCCAAAGAGCGACACGTCGCCCACATAGCTCCGACGCATGGCAGGGCAAAACCCGGGCTTCGGAGTCGTTTTTAGTCACTCAGTGGCAGGAAAGAATGGACATGGATGGACATGGATGGGCTATCGACTGCTGCTGGACTCAAATCCATCACGGAGATACAAACACTGGACACTGCCAGTTTTATCCAGTTTTCACAGCTGATCTTTCGATGTTCAATCATCTCATGGAACTCTCCAAAGCTCCTATGAGATTTGGACAACTTTCACTGCAGTTTGAGCAATGGTTGTGGAAGCGCCCTCCTTACATTTTGTTCATGTCGGACCATCTACAAAATGACTCCACAGTTTTTTGGCTCTCCTTTCAAAATGTTCATGCGTCTCTGTCCACGGCTTGATTCCGAAGTCAAACTAGGTCCGGTCAAAGTTACAAGATCCACACTGGATGATCCAATCGAGTCTTGTGAGTCTTGTGATTCGCACCGTCGCACCTCATCTTGGAAGTTGAGTCTCTGCAGGATCTCACGATGATGACTCTCAATGAAGGAACGCATGTCCTCCTGCTGTCGGCTCAAACTGAAGAGAATCTGTTCATGAAACATGGTAAGCATATGTAACCATGGTAGCAATGGAGGCAGCAATGGCAGCCCAAAACTCCACATGTTAGCTGCACATCCTATGGAAGCATTTGATGTGTCAACTGCTGAACCAGCAACAGCCCGAGCTCGGGTGCCTCGACATTGACATAACCTGTCAGGATGTGAAACCACAAATGTTTTTAGTTTGCGACTTGAGACCGTGCTTGCGTGCTGTGCATGAACATCCAGTGTAATTAATAAGAGTGGATTACAAACAAAGAATATCTGGACGCTAGAAATTGGAATATTGCAGAATATTGCCAACATTGATGTGCGCGTTGGACGTTTGCCATACAAGTAGTATATAATCATATATAATCATATTATAGACATAGATAGACATAGCGACATTGATAGACATATCACATACATGATTTAAGCGTCGAAACCTTGCTGATTGCCAAGCCGGATCAAGCCGGTCTTTTGTTTGTTGTCCTACAGGTCCTACACTGGATGGTCTCTTGACAAGCTGTATGCCACACTGTATGCATCATATGCCATGGGTCTTCAAGTTTGACCCACACCTGCCCTCTACGTGGCTGTGACATGCTGTGACTTGTTCCCATGGTATGAAGCCCCGAGAAGCTGAAGGCGATTGAAGGCATGTCTGAATCCCAACCCTCCAAAGAGCCCGCAGACCTTGACCTATTTGGTCATCCTTTGTCTCCTCCGCAGCATGAAATCGCAAAAGAAAAAACCCTTGGGAAGGACAACATCGTTTTAACAAGAGTCAAGAAGAGGGATTTGAGAGACAACACTTGTCTTTTAGCCAATACTTACAGTAGCCATGCCCAAAAAAATGCATGGACCCCCAGTCTTAAGCGCGGGGAAAGCCATGGTTGAGGTATCAATGGGTATCACATACCTGACCTTGGACATCCTTGGACACAACCACTACCCACATCTACCCACCATCCAATACCTGAGGTCTTTTTTATGAGCACCACATACCAGCACTACAGTGGCACATGTCACAGATTGTCACAGCACAGCTCGCTTCAGCCCATCCTTGGGCAAGGACATTACCGCAGGCTCGCCCGGACCCAGGGAATGTCCTTTCAAGCGAAGAAACACTGCTGATATCTGCTGAAAGGTGCATTTGACTTCCTCACTGGAAACTACACCTATTGGATCATTTTGGATCTATCAGTTTATATAGTTTATGGGATTTGATTACAAAATTTCGGCCCGAAGTGGATAGTTTCAAACATGTTTTAATGACATTTAAGGACTGAGAAGGACCAATTTTGTGGTTCCCACGGCAACGAAGGCAGGTATTTTCAGATTCATGAGCAGCTGAAATGAGTCACATCATCTTGGATGATGAGAGTGCTATTGAATCTGCTATTGGCTATTCACTGTCTTCAAGTTTTCAATCAGCTGCAAAATGCTGCAAGCCGGTTGGGGCCACGAATCATGATGGTTCAACCATTCAACCGCCTTTCGCTTACTGTGTCCAGCTGTCGACATCGGCAGAGGGCCATGTTGTATTATGTTGTATTACAGGTTGCCAAGTTTGCCAAGTTTCATCTTAAGCAATTGAACTCAGATCATTTTTTGTGCTAATCACCAGCAAAAAACTATAAAAGGCACGAACGGAAAGCACCCGATGGCGCAAACATGCATCGCACGGAAAAGTCTCATGCGAATGTGCTTGCCCCCATGGCCAGGACAATTTTTCCACCACACGGGTTGCTTCTCGCAGCTCATTTCACTGCGATACCCTCGCTTTGGGCGGGGCGCTTTCAACGCTGCCACAGGGCTTGAGGCTCCAATGTCACTAGTTGCCCGCTGAGGCCGAAGTTCTGGGCAAAATCGTTCCAGTGATGTTTGCTAAAGTATGCTAAAGTAGGACCAAGTGATGCAATGATGCAAAATCCTTATGCATGGCGATGCATGGCGTTAACATGGCTGAACAACACGCTGCAAGCACCAAACGAAACCGAGAAGATCCGAGAAGTGTTCCATCGGCATCAGTGAAGCCCATGGGATCCATGGGCATCGCCGACCTTGGAGCTCTTGGAGCGACAGCGGTTCTGACGTGTACTGAGTGTACTCAGTCGCTACTGAGTGTACTGAGGCGGTGTCCAAGAATTCAGCTTCATGAGAGGCCTGGCAGCTTGACATAGCTTGACATGCTGGCAGTATCTTGCACTATCTTGCACTATCTTGCACTATTGTTTGCAGATATATTGCCATTGTTTGTGTATCTTGTGTGATCCCAGTCGTTGAGGGGTGTTGTGCATTCCCAATCATCAGCCAAGAATTTCAGGGTCGCCAAGTCACCCAGAATTGCCAACTGTTGGATTTTTCGGATACCGGGCCTTGATTGGCAAGCCACTCAGAACCTGGAAGTGACAGTGACAGGACCACCAGATCCACTGCAACTTGTAGAGACAACCTGATCCGCTTCCCGCATTCCGGTTCTCCGTCGCTATCAGCATAATGGCATATCATCCCCCAAAGTCGGGATGCTAATTTCCCCTTTGAAAACGGTGTTATAATATGTTATAACGGCCTTCAATGATTCAATATGATTCAATGTAATTCATATGTACTCCATATATGTGATTCATATATGTAATTCATATGTAATTATAATATAATATACTAATCATAGGTGTAATATGTTGTAATTCATAGTTCTTCTATGTTCTTCCGATGTTTGTTCTCAGTCGATGTCATGATTCATCCAAGGTGCCGCGATCTCAGTTCGCAGATGCCGCAAGGCTTCGTTGCGACGCTTCAGACCATCTGCATGGACCCATTTTACAAACCTCGATGGCTCGGGAAGGTGATGAAGATTTTCACAAGAACATGCTAGATTGATCTAGATATATCTAGATTGAATTAGATTGACAACTATCAAAAATTTCGGGAGCACGATTCAAAACACGATTTGCATTGGAATCCCTGTGGGGGAGTGATTGTGAGACTCTCAAGAACATGGCAATACATGGTTTCCAGCATCTCTTGTGACACACCGTGACACACCGTGACAGACCCGCAGTTGCTCTTGGATGCACTTCGCTTTGGCTCGGCTGCACACCCACAAGTGCCTGTAGCCAAGGCGGTGGCAAAGGCCTCGAGCCACGGCCGACACCATCGACACAACGGATTCGCTGTTTCATCACCGTTCACGTCCGTTCACAACGTGAGTTTCTGCATTAAAAATGAGCAAACCACTGGTCTCTAGAATCCCTGTTGGGAAAACGGAATGAATAAGGAATGAATAGATATCTGAGGATATCCAGACGGCGAACTATCAAACAGACCACAAAATAACATCTCAGATATGAATCCAGCTGGAACTAGCACAACCATTTTCAACCTTTCTATTTTGCAATACGCCTGAAACATAAAGTCACGAAAGTCTGTCTAGCAAAGGAAAAAAACTTCGGTTGCAATGGCCTCCCTCTTTACAAGGCTGCAATGGTCCTTTCGAACAATATTCACATATATGATCATATATTCACTCTCCAGATCAGCATGCCCACCTTTTGATAACTTTTGCAGGTCTATCACACAGCTCAAGGCATGCAAGTCAAAGAGCATCATTTTGTGGGCAGCTAGCCATGTCTGCACGTTTCTAGCCATGTCTAGCCAATGTTTTAGACTCGAGAGTCTACTCCCCAAGCCCCAAACATCTTTCACATTTTGAGCAATTCGCTTGACTTGGTTGTCAGGGCACAAAAGTGCGGACGCCCAGTTCCAATAGAAAAGTCTATTCAAATACAATACACCAAATCCACTGCAAACGTGAACGGAGTTCCAAAGGACCGACACAGGTTCCCCCAGGCCCCTGGCAAGCCAGCCGACGGCTTCCAAGAAGTTTTCCTGCCAGAGGTTTCCAAGTTTCCCACAGCATCTTGTGGGATTTTTTGGGTCACAAATGGTCAATGGATGTCAATGGATGTCAAATATGTCAAATATGTCAATGGTATGTCAATGGTATGTGCTGGCAGTGAAACCTTGTAAAACACCGACGTCGCCGACAGGTCAACCCTCCAGCCTCTTCTGCAGGCAATTCGACCACAGTTTTGGTTAGGAGAAGCCTCAGCGAAAAAGGATGGAAAATGACAGGAGTGTCGTCCAATGTTGTCCATGTCGAAAAAGGATGTGTGGCTGTCCTTCACATACATTATTGGGCTGTGAGGTTAGTCTTGCAGGCTTTACAGAGTATGCAAGATCAATCACGCGCAAGCATATTCAAAAACATCCGGAAAACAATAGATGCGCAAACAGTGGTCCAACTCGAGTGATGCAAGGAAACACGCTCTCTTCTGAAAGCACCTCTTGTATCGAAGCCTAGCCGCAACTTCTTATAGTTTTCTTATAATATTTTCTTATATCATAACCATCCCAATTCTCCATCCCAGCATCTTTGTCGATTTGGATTCTCATCTCAGGTAAGTCCAAGAAGATCCAAGAAGAGTGGTGTGAAACCGCAAAACAGTGCCGTTTTTTTCATTTTGATGATCTTCCAGCGAATGAGCCGATTTTTGAGTTCCAGCTGATCGGTCGTCATGCCCGAGAGAGCGTTCAGTTGGCGGTACCTCACCAGGTGACCAACTCACATGGAACCGGATGAGCAGCTGGCACCACCTGGCACTACATAGCTCCACAACCAACCGGTGGTGCTGTCTGGAGGACTTCAAGATCCTGTGATTATAGATAGTTGGCCAACAATTATTTGTTGAAAAATATGTCCGCACTTTTGGGCAAACCATGGCAAACCCCTAGGCAGTAATGAAATGAAAATGTAATGAAATAAAAATGTAATGAAATGTAATGAAATGCAACGAAATGTAACGAAATGTAGCGAAATGTAACGAAATGTAATGAAATGTAATGAAATGTAATGAAACGTAATGAAATGTAATGAAATGTAATGAAACGTAATGAAATGTAATGAAATGTAATGAAATGTAATGAAATGTAATGAAATGTAATGAAATGTAATGTAATGAAATGTAATGAAATGTAAATGTAATGAAATGTAATGAAATGTAAATATGCAATGAAATGGAAAAGTAAGGAAATGAAATGTGCTATAAATGTACTGAAATGTACGGAAATGTAAACGTAATTAAATGTAATGTAATGAAATGTAATGAAATGTAAACAAATGTAATGAAATGTAATGAAATGTAATGAAATGTAATGAAATGTAATGAAATGTAATGAAATGTAAATGTAATGAAATGTAATGAAATGTAATGAAATGTAATGAAATGTAATGAAATGTAATGAAATGTAATGAAATGTAATGAAATGAAATGTAATGAAATGTAATGAAATGTAATGTAATGAAATGTAATGAAATGTAATGAAATGTAATGAAATGTAATGAAATGTAAAGAAATGCAATCTAATGAAATGTAAATGCAATGAAATGTGATGAAACGTAATGAAATGTGATGAAATGTAAATGTAATGAAATGTAATGAAATGTAATGAAATGTAAATGTAATGGTATGTAATGAAATGTAAAGAAAGGTTATGAAATGTAAATGTAATGAAATGAAATGAAATGTAATGAAATGTAATGAAATGCAAATGCATGAAATCGAATGAAACGTAATGAAATGCAATGAAATGTAATGAAATGTAATGAAATGTAATGTAGATGTAATGTAAATGTAGTGTAAATGTAATGAAATGTAAATGTAATGTAAATGTAATGAAATGTAAATGTAATGCAATGAAATGTAAATGTAATGAAATGTACGGAAATGTAATGACATGTAATACTTCCTTTCCCGTCTTCTGCCCCAGATGGTTCAAAGATAGCGGCTGGTGCACATCCACTTCACTGGCGCACTGCAGGGTGGTTGCATTCACCATAAGCTCGCCGTATCCCGGCCTGTGATCGATTGGGGTGTCGTTGGAAGCCATGTCCTTTATATGCAATTTATTTTCCAACGTTCCACGGATATCTCACATCGAAAGATATCGAAAGTGGTAGAGTTTGCATCCAGGCCCAAAAGTATCGCCGTCATTTCAGCCATCACTGCAGGAATATAAAAACAACTCCTTTCTCGCAATTCTCGCGAGCGATTCCAATCTACTTGGGCTTCTGTCACCCGCCTTCCAAGCAAATCCGAAATTCAAACACGGTTTTACAGTGCAAACTCTCTTGTTCGTTGGAGGCGGCCCAATTTTCTAGAATTTTCTCGATGATCTGGATGAGCGATGGTCATCAAACTGGGAACTTCAACCTGAACAAGTTGGCATAGCATGACTGACCCCGGCTCAGCCACAACCCGCTGAGTATTCCCAACTGGCTAGGATGACGTTGGGCAGTGAAGCGAGCGGGAAGGTCTGCATACCTCAGGGTTTCGCGAAGGAGGAACACCTTCCACCTTTCGATGGGTTGTTGCTTGGCTTGTCGATCGATTGCTGGATGGATGACTGATTTGCTACATGACATAGCTTCAGCATGCCGGACTAGTTCCTAAGCAAACTTAAACCTCACTTACTGTCATCGCTTGATGAGGCTTGACGTGTACCACTTCATGGGACTCAAGGGAAAACGTTAATACAAACGAGTGCCAATCAACACCTTGACTCTGTCGAACCACAACCGCAGTCAAGCTGCTGCAAAGGAGGATCACCTGCATCGCCATTGAGGATATGGACTGGCCTTCCGGTCAGGGGCAGAAATCGCAACCTTGCCCAAGTGGGACTGCTGATAGCAAATTGCCATTGAGTGTTTGGAGCGCTTCAGCAGCTTTCAAACACATCTCATTTCACTTGTCATTCAAGTAGCCCCTGGACCATCATCCTGACAAAATGCCTTGTATCTAATATGCACAGTGTGCTTAGGCTTAAACAGAATAGAATCACTGTGCGTGGAAAATTGCGTAGATGCATCTCACAATTCTCCATGTATCTATATGTGTATATATATATGTGTGTGTGTGTCTTGTTATTATTATTACTACTAGTGTTATTATTATTATTTTATTCCCGAGAGCGCCTGCGAAGGGTTCTTCGTAAAAAAGCAGCCGTTATACTACATCTTCACGCCTTCACATCTGCTGATCTACATCTTCACACCTTCACACCTGCAGATCTAGATCTTCACACCTTCACACCTGCAGATCTAGATCTTCACACCCTCACATCTGGACATCTAGATCTTCATACCTTCACACCTGCAGATCTAGATCTTCACCCTCACACCTGCAGATCTAGATCTTCACACCCTCACATCTGCAGATCTAGATCTTCACACCTTCACATCTGCAGATCTAGATCTTCACACCCTCACACCTGCAGATCTAGATCTTCACACCCTCACACCTGCAGATCTAGATCTTCACACCCTCACATCTGCAGATCTTCATCATCACATCCTCACATCTGCAGATCTACATCTTCACACCCTCACATCTGCAGATCTTCATACCTTCACACCTGCAGATCTAGATCTTCACCCTCACACCTGCAGATCTAGAGCTTCACACCCTCACATCTGCAGATCTACATCTTCACACCCTCACATCTGCAGATCTTCATACCTTCACACCTGCAGATCTAGATCTTCACACCCTCACACCTGCAGATCTAGATCTTCACACCCTCACATCTGCAGATCTAGATCTTCACACCTTCACATCTGCAGATCTAGATCTTCACACCCTCACACCTGCAGATCTAGATCTTCACACCCTCACACCTGCAGATCTAGATCTTCACACCCTCACATCTGCAGATCTACATCATCACATCCTCACATCTGCAGATCTACATCTTCACACCCTCACATCTGCAGATCTACATCATCACACCTGCAGATCTAGATCTTCACCCTCACACCTGCAGATCTAGATCTTCACACCTTCACATCTGCAGATCT